ATACGGTATTATAGAACTGCGATTTGGGTTTAAAGAACCCACAAAGTAGAACTGAAAGTTCTCTTTCTAACATCAATTTATTCCAGCCTATTTTTTAACATCGATATTTAGTGCTAGAACACGGATGATTTTGGGGAACTTTGTTGCTAAGCTCGCAACCTCAGTGGCAATGGGAAAGCATCCGTCATGGACCCTCACTGCTACTCTGCATTCACTCGAAAGAAAGGAATCTGTAAACTACATCCTACGTTATGGGGGCATTTAAAAAACAATCAATTAAGAACCCATTTGCTTAATCAATTGATTTCCTAATCGGAAAATTACATTAATATGCGATTTAATTTCCATTTATTTTAGTTATTCCAAGTGTAACCAGTCTGAAAAGTCAGTGAGTGTGCTTTTCTTGCACGTTGTTTGTTTTTGTGAAAGTCAGCCAACTTGCGTATTTGTCGTATGTTTAAACGTTTTTTGAAGAAATAAAATTGTGTAAAACACAAATTTTAATTGCTCAAAGACAACTTTTTAGCTTATACAAAAATTCATAAAAACAGTCTTAATTTATTAGAATAGAAAGAGAAGATAATACCAACAAAAGTAATGTCATGAAACGTACTAATAAAGGAATCGGTGAAATACAACTTCAATTTGGTATTTGAGAACGCCTGAAGGTTTGCAGCAAGACACCCGATTGGGAATTGTGTGAGTCAGCCGGATACTATCCTAACGCCGTTGCCCAACTGCAATCATTCCAAGCCGCTCCGTCATCGCGACCACAAGCACCGCCGCTGCCGCCACCGCTGCGGCTCCCAGCTTAACCACAGACGGCGCCGCGCCACCCTCGCCCCCGCCGCTTCTACCTGTCACCTGCCCGGATGCGCGGAGTGCGTCACGCGGAATTCGGATTCGAAGCTTTCGAGCTCTAACTTGGGGCACACGTCGGCCGTGAGGTCAAATGATATAGTTACGAGATCTTTAAGATGCCGCAGTTGTGAGAAGATACAAGGAGATTTGTTTCAATATTACGTTACAAAAATCGTAAAATTTGACGGCTGTCGCGGCAGTGATTCTGACCAGGAGGTGCAAGTTTCCAGTTCTGACGGTGGCGAATTTTTGTCACTGACAGTCAGTAGGTCCAATTCAGCCGCTGTCTGGAAGAGAATTGTAGCGGTCGGTCGCTCTGATTGGTAGCCTTCAGTGGTTTCTCCGATCAAGACCTGACGAATGCCTGAGATCCTGCTAAAAGGGCCACGCGCGATCTTTCCTTCCTCATCCTTTTCACATCCTCCTCACTTAAACACATTTACACTAACATGCACTACCTTAGCATACATGTCGGGAGACCAGTAGGATGCTTAGAGCTTATGCCTACTGGGGCGGTGCCACGAAGGAGATACCTGAAAAGGAAATCTTCAAGCCGACGTGCAGATCGGCGGCGATCTTGCCATCCTGCGGGTACAAACACCGCCACCTCCCGGGATACAAACTCATTACATTAATACGACTAATGGCCATACCATCATGAGTGTGATAGGCCTGGCAACAACAAAACAATCGCAAAACTGTCACTTAAACTTATGTAAGAAATCTGAGAAAATGTGACGAGGCGATATGCGAGTCTCCCTGACCACAGTCCCCTCGACAAACTGTTTCATAAGACTTACATGGAGATCGGGGAGAAATAAAATGTATTATTCAATGGCGTTTTAAATATGTCAAGGGCTAAAAGTCGTAAAATCCCTCAGTTTTATCTAAACAAAAGTAGGGGTGGAGAGGCAGTAAGATCGGCTGTTAGGCCAGTTCTTCATGTCACCACTCCCCACCCCTTCAATCACCAAAGACACAGCCACTCTAGGATGTAGTGGGTGAGGAAAATTATCGAATTTCATTATCAAATCATTCAAATTCTTCAGCGTTATTAAATCGGGAACAGATTGACCAGGAGTGCCACTGAACCATGTTCATGAATAAGTTATAACTTACTGACATTTGAGAAACCTTTCAAATCATTATCACGGAAACGAAAACCTAGACTCCCTCGTCCGGAGTCAGAAGATTGCATGCTGATCGGAAGACGACGCGTCATCGCACAATTTCTCCCGTTTCCGTTATACTGAATTGCGTTTCGCTCTGAGGAAGGTCGCAGTGTGGCGGTCGAAACAACATTTCATATTTAGCTGGGTTTCTAGAAAGTGACAATCTTGATTCTATGTTTATCTTAGAACTGAAATTTATCACAGTAACCTCAATAATTACACCTAGAAATTGCGGTCAAATTCTGCGCTTAAGGTTCATTTACGTTGCAACGTAGCATGTAGAATTAATGTATATTAGGGCTATTTCGAACAGGTCACGATTGGTGCAGGTGAAGAGATGATAAAACAGATACACACAGTTTTTACCGAAAATCAGGATGTCTGCATGGATTGATAAAGGAAGTATGCGTCACACAACTGTCAGATTAGAAGCTTTTGAGCTTAAACTTAATAAACATGTCAGGAATAAGATAGTTGAACCTTTACGTGAGTCATTACGATATTTTAATTTTGGGGGATACTTTACATGAAGACCCTATGACATTTTCTAAATTTCCTGAAAAATGGCCGCAATTTTTTCTCTCAATTTGTTTCCGAAGGAGAGGAAAGCTCAAGAGTAACTACATTATTTATCGTTCTGATTTTCATTAATCCTCTGATATCTTGAACATTGAACACGTTTAAATGTTTTTATTTTAATAATTTAATTTTTTTATGTATTGTCCTACATCTCCAATAATAAAGCAATGGATATATTTCTCAATGCAAATTATCTCTCAATTTTAGATATCGAAATTATGCCATGCTGAGTCATGTAAGTCTTATGAGCAATAGCTAAGAGGAGCAAATGTTTCGCAGTGCCGCACGTAATATTTCGGCGTATTGCCCACTACATAACATACCATACACATTTCGTCTCGTTGCTGAGACGGGCTCAACGATCCCGCATCTCTCGCCTCCACACGCATAAGCACGCATACGTACGTACTGATACGCGCGAGCGCGCCCACACACGCGCAAACGCACACACACTCACACACACGCACACGCACGCGCGCGCACATACGTGCACACACACCCACACGCGCGGGCACACACACGCGCGCGCGCACACACACGCACACGCACGCACACGCACGCGCGCTCACACACACGCACGTACACACACGCACACACGCGCGCGCGCGTACGCGGGCGAGCGCTGAGCACTCAACTGGCTCGGCGCCGAACACCTTCCATTCACTCGGCTCATGTTAAGTACCCGCTGTAATTCTTCTTCATTAATTTCCTGAAACCCACTCGTTTCACTCTGTCACACTGTTTTTTTAAAAAGCGACTTGTTTGTTGTACAGCGGCTGCCGCAGCGCAGAAGACGGAACGGATTAATATGTGAGGCTTTTCAAAACGAGCTCTCAGCTACGAAGCGTTCAGATCAGATTGCCTTGAGATAAAGGATAAAATATTAAGAGGAGAAATCTCGTGTCGAAAATAAGTAATTCTGCGTTTACTTATTCAATCATTTCAATCTTTCAAATAATTTGCACAACCAAGGTTCCAACCACATGACAACGAAAGTACACAATGAAATCAGTTCAAATTATTTATTCCATTGCCAAAAAATTGACCACTCATTTGAATATATATGCAACCCTATTGATTTAGAAATCGAAACGTAATCTTTACGTCAACAAAAGTGAAATAAGAGGGAGATTTCATACACAACGTCTCAAGCGGCTAGTATATCGGAAAGCATTGCATTCAATATTGAATTTGTACGCATTCATGCTTCAATTCAATTAAATATTTGTAATAATCGTTATGCAGTAATGGAGTTCCCTGCGTCAGTCCGTCCGTCATTCACGGCTACACAACTTCCGGTCCACCAATCGAGACAAATGAGAGGGCGTTGCACGTGTCATGGCCTCCTAGTGAGAACTGTAACTTGTATATGTAACTGAATTCATCAAGAAAATTCTGAAAATAATTCTCGAAAGAAAAAAAAAAGAATTAAACCAAAACTTGTTTTGGGTAACTAAGGACTCCAGCAGAAGTAATGTATTGCTCATTTGATTAATCTCGATAAGAATAATCGATTGGTGCAATTCTTAGCCGGTACGCTTTAGGATATTCTAGGATAATTCTAAAATGTGTTTTTAATGGTTTCAATGCACCTTCGAAAGAATACACTGGAGAAACATCGTGAACTACTACTCTCTTTCCGGAATTTACATAAATCATTGGGACTTTATTCATGAGATAACGCTTATTTAAACTAATTTTGTAAGAAACAAATGAAACCAGAATTTTATTTGATACGTTATGTAATTTTCTATGCCCTGAAATGGACGAGCCAGACAACCGAAACCTTTCACAACCTTTTGCGGTACTTGATCAGCAAGTGGTGTAGAGCTTCTTTAAATCTACTCGAATTCGTTTGTTAGTTTTACTTTCCTTGTAGAGTATAGAAGTAGTAGAGGGAAAGTTAGACATTCAGAAACGTAATTAATGTCGAGATTTTTACGTAAATGTAGGTTTTATGGGATTCTTGGTACCGAAAATGATTTTTTTTATGTTTCTTTCCTATACAACAGAATAAAGATGCCAGTTAATATTAATTAACTTGTAAGAAATAAAGCAGTGATTCAGTAACTCGGAAGACATCCGAGTGCAGCATCGAATGCGGATCCGCGTTACAACCTGACACAATAGCCAACTTCTGACTGACGATGAAAGTTCAACGCACGTTCCTTGACGAAATGTCGAGTTCACGCAGCATCATTTCCTCGTGTCTGTGAAACGTAACGAGGCGTCAACTATGAAACGTTTCTCAAAATGACGATCGTCAAGATTATTGCCGAAGGTTGGTAAAATCGGCGGTTACATTAACCAAAATAGATTTTTGTTAAAACCGTGTAATGAGTCAATTGTTTCTAAATCAAAATATTCAAAGGGAAGGAACAATTAAGCGGGCGGATATGTAAATGGGCCGTTGTAAACTCTTTCCAAAACACTGTGCAGAGGAGACCGATGAAGACAGCACCGAATTCTGAGCTCCCGTCCCCTCTCCCCCGCGTATGCGCTGCCGCCACCACCGCCGCCAGCGCAGCATCAGCCCGGAAGTTCCAAATTAGAACAACTCGCGGTATTTTTAGCCGTGTTTCCGGAAACCGTCCAGGGTTACAGACCCGCCGTCGCCGCCGCGGCCGCATCTGTCCGTCCTCTTAAACCGCGCCCCACCGCTCCACGCCCCCGCAGACAACTTCCCGCTCCTCCACTTGAGGCGGCTCGGCGCCAGGGGCTGCCGCTGGGTGCAGAGAAAAACACAGGTAGGTTTGCCGAGAGCCATCGTTTTCCTGGAATACATTCTAGAGTATTAGCTTATACTCTTTTTAAGTCAAAAGTGTTGAAGCCAGACAAAAGTTCACCAGTTAAATAATTTAAAAAGTTCTAACAAGTATAGGATTGAAAACAAATTCTAAGGAATTATTACGTTGTTAAACGAAAAGAATTCCACCCCACTCTAAACTGGCGAACTGACGTTTTGTCCATTGACTTATTTTCTCATAATCTAACAGAACAAATTGCTCCGATTGTTTCCCCACTTTTCAGTTCTTTTTTCACATTTGTGTACACAGTATGAAGAAAATACGTAAATACAACTAAAGTAAGATCCGCTCTCTCGTTTCGTCGTGGAAAAAACAAATTAACAATATTTGCTTAACTACTAAAAATTTTAAAAAAACTTGTGGTGCAACAGAATGGTACTTTTCCGTTTTAGTTTTCTATTTCCTTTGGTCTGGGCTAGCTATTTGGACTCTCCACATACTCTTGCCAGCTGCCATCTATTGCCGCCAAAAGATCATTAAAAAAATCATAATTTTTCGGTTTCATAATAGTGAAACGGAAATATTATTTTAAGAATATTAAAGAACAGTAATACCTCAAACTAAATGGCAATTTTCTTTGAAATATTTGGAACCGTTTTTAATAATATTGCGTTTAAACGCTATTGTAAATTGAAAATTTAAAGCTTTTTCACAGAAAACTTGAGTTTTCGAAAAACTTCTTTAGAAGTCATTTGAAGAGATTTAACTCACAAATACAATCGCGGTTATACGTACTTTGTATATACGTACGTATAAGGGGCAGTAATAACTCTGCATTTAGCCCAAAAAGTAAAAGCCCGACTTTAAAGATTCTTCTACAAAATCCCTGAAGCTTTCCCAATTTTTTCACATGAATGATATTCCCTAAATTATCCTGCTTTTGCATTTTCAATGGAAGTGAACGAACTGAAGAGAGATTAGTTTCGCGCATTTTTAAAGGTAACGAAATTACTTTGTCGACTGCATTTGACAGGCAACGGGAAAATCTCTGCAACGAGTTGTATTGACGGAGCAATCATATCAAACTATCAGCTTCCAGAAATCGCGAAAATGGGAAATAAAAACGTTCAGAGGTACAGCAAAAGTGACTAAAATACACAACAAACCAGTATTCAGAAATGAGCGATAATAGTAAGGAAGAATTAGATAGGCAAGTTTCGAAACAATCATTACGGCAAAGTTAAGAATGTTAAAGTTAAGAAAACAAAATACTATTCACCGAATTCCCGAAGGAAAGAGCGCGGGTCCTTTAGGAGCACGGGAATTCGCGGAATGCGCTGAATAGTCGAAATGGGATTCTGAGAGCAACACGCTACTCGGTCAGATCGACGAGAAACTCAAAGGTCGAGGATTCAAGTCCTCGCTCGGATTCACAACTCCAGTTCGAAAAATGGCTGGAAGCTGAGAGTTTTCGGTACCTAATTTCATTTTATTGAGTTCAACTTGTTACGCGCAAACGTTTTTATGAACATGACATGAAATAAAGATCTAATTTTGAAGGACATATCCTTAAGAAAACAATGTCTATTTTCAATTTAAATTGCCTTTATTTCATTATGCGGAACCAGTCAGCTTCCAAAAAATTGCGAATGAGTGAAAAATTGTGGTGGATGAACGAACAGGAGGATGACGGATAGCCGAAACGATAGGGAGGCGGAGAGATGGACACTGGAAGACAGGCGGAGGGAAGGAGAAAAAGGCGGAAACATAGACGAACGGGTGTTTTGAAAGAATTCTGGACCCCAAAACGGTATTCCCGTTAAAATCACGAAATCGATTTTCGCAAGCACTACATTTCTTTATCTTATACTAGTATTTCTATCAGTCATTTTGTACGTTCGAATACGAGAAAGTAACTAATGGTGCTACAGAATGGAACAGACTTTTCCGTATTAGTTTTCTATTCCTCTGGTCACTGTTTCAAACTTGCCACATACTTTTGCCTGCTGCCATCTCTCGCCGCCCAAAGTACGTTTTTATGAAATTTTCTTCGTTTGTCGGTTTCCTGCTAGTAGAACGGAAATATTATTTTAAGAGTATTAAAGAACAGTAAAATCTTCCCCTAAACCGCAATTTTCTTTGAATAATTTGGGGCTGCTTTTAAGAAAATGGCGAAACTGCTTTTAAGAAAATGACCCTAATGAAAGAATTCACTATGGATATCAAATTTTATTTTGTGAAAATTGGACTTATGCCACTTTTATAAGTGTGTGTTACTCTATTCTTACAAGAAATTTTTTTTAAAAATGTGGTTTTTGAGAAAATTTGAAAATATCCGGGGGGAAAATATCCGGGTATGTAATTTACCGCTAAATTTTAAAGAATGTTTCTCAAAATCTCAAAGATTCGATTCGAGCCAGATGGACAGGGGTTTCTTCAATTTGAAAAAACAAACTACGTATGGTTTAGGCGCTAGTAGTGTTTAGTTCCGTTGTAATCTCGAAATCGATTTTCCGCAGCATTACTTAACTTTCCCTATACTACGTATATTACATTACTCCGTATATACGTACGTTTACGGGAAAGTAAAAAGTTCGGAATATTTTCACGGGTCCTACTAGTTGACTATTTACTATTTTATTACGAGTAGGAGCAACATACATTGAACTTCTTTCCATAATACTAATTTTGGGCTAAGTCAAAACCCTATTGTGTAAACGTTAGAGCGGAATGCTCGTTCATAGAAGTACTTAACCAACGGTCACACCAACTCCTACATAGAAACGGTCGCACACCTTCACTCCCACGAGCATTACCGTGTTTGTCTTGGGAGGCTGCGACTTTCCTGGACGGTAGAAGACTATTTTGAACGAGAGAGCCGCAACCCAACACCAGAAGGGATGTTAATGCTGGGATCCGAGATATTTCTGGGGCTACATCCGGTCGCGCTGCCAGACACTCTCAGGACACTTGTATTCACGTACTGCACGGTAACATAAAAGAGAACTCCAGCAAACCACAGTCCGATGACGTATTTGGTGTTGTTAAAGAGGAAAATATGGTTTACGCAACATTAGGTTAAACTTCCCTGGTTTCAATTATCCGCATAATATACTATTGTTCACTTTATAATTTTCATTTAAATTTCTTAAAAGTAAATACACATGTAACTTTGGGATATTTTAGAAATAATTTAAAGGAAGCAGTTTAGAAGAGCATTCTAGGAAGAAGAGCGAAAGAGGCGGAGAAAGGAAGGGGCCAAAAGGATGTCTGAGGAGGAGTTCGTAGAAACTGGCATTGTTCCTGAAGTGCACTCCACGACAAGTAATGAAAAGGGCGCCAGTTTGATTCTCTCGACGGGACCTCTTGCCAGCCGAGTGTCCACTGTGGAATTTATGTGACATACCACATTTCAGAAGAAATAATGTACAAGGCCGCATTTCCTAATGCAGAGGCAACATCTAGAAGAAACCTACTAACACTAAACTGAATCTTTCTTTTTTTAAATTTATTTCTCCTCGTAATTACATTTCGAGTTTTTTAACAAAAGAAATTATGTTCCACAATCCGAGTACTACTCCAAATTTCTACTACATTCTTTCTCAATCTGCTTGTTTGTCTATGAATTTCCCTACTGTTTAGTCTCGTACCCGCTTTACGCCGAATAGGAAAAGTATTGTAATAATGCGAGAAAACATGTTCGAGTTTTCGACAGAAACATTTTTTGCAGGGCTCTGGTAACGAAAAATGGAGATAAATATTGTCCCTGTATGTGGTAAATTATTTCCTTTAACTTGTTGTGTAGTCAGAATCCACTTTTGTGTCCTTTATACCGAAAAATTCGTTTACCGTAAAAATTTCCTCTGCCCGTACGTGAACAATATTGGCACCATTTACGGCTTACATTTTCACAGAAGTTTATATTTCATGATCCATCTGTCTGATATTGCGGCTTTTTGAATTTGAAACGGATACTTCGATTTCCTCATAAAACCTCAACATTGTCAACATTTTCTCAAAAATTGCTCCACACTTTTTCTTTAAACTTTTTCCACGGATAGACCAAAGAAGCTTAATTAAATGGCGTAGACCGCATTTTCGTTAAACTCTTAATTATTGAAAATTGGAAAATTTAAAAATTTTCAGCATCTTCACGTAACTACAATTTTGAAGTCATTATTTCCTTAATGAAATATTTTCAACAAAAACAAACTGAGAAGGTTATTTACAATTTTTCGAAAAAGGAAGTAGTTTTCGAGACATGTTGCGAGAAACAGTACTTTTATCAATCGTTTTCTTAAACATTCCTTTTTTTTAGTTCTTTATTTTTTTCCTCATGTGTAGCAAAACACGATAAAGGTGGTGGTGCTGGTCCCATTTTCCCATTGCAGAAATACAATATTGATGATAGAGGTTTTTTTTTAAGTGAAACAGATTCTAAAAATTCATTCTTTGAAAAAGGTCCAGTACATTTGATTTAAGTATTAAATAATTCAACGTCATCGAAATTACAAATTCGAATTTGCTCTGCTACGTTCGACGAGCTGACAGTTCGCAACGCCGCAGTACTGTGGTTTGAAATGTTTGGCATTGGTTCCCACATTTGGTCAACATGGCTTGAACGGTAATGATGATTTATTTATGTATTTAAACTTAATGTTACAATGCCTCTACATTCAATAACATTACTACTTATACCGTAGTGTCTTTATCGTCCCAGATGTATATCGGGACGAATTTACATACAGTACAAGAATGTTTACAATAATGTATGTTTATTCTGATGTACATTACATAATGACACAGTAGTTATGTCTATAGTTTGAATATATTTGGCACACCGCACACAATGAGACGATGCTAAAATTTTGATTTTGTACTGACTTATTTGCATTTCAAGAATGAAATTCGTCCAAACGTTTCTATTGTGGTCCAGATATGCATAATCGTATTAATATGCGATAGATTTATAATATTTTTATGCATTTATTAAGGCAATATATTGCATGAATTTTACCACAGGATATTCAATTTACACATTTCTTTTACTTTAAAAATATTTAATCGCTTATTACGCTTATTATTATCATTATTATTACTATCATTATTATTATTAACATTATTATTACTATCATTATTATTACCATCATCATTATTATTATTACCATCATTATTATTATTACCATCATTATTATTATTACCATCATTATTATTATTACCATCATCATTATTATTATTATTACTATTATTATCCAACTGCACATACCATTAAGGGCAAGGGCCTCCTACTTGCGCAGGGAATTATTAATCCTTCTTAAATGAATAGGAGGATGATGAAGGGTGAAGGGACGATCACAAATATATCCATGCCCGAAGCGGGATTCGAACCCACGATATTTGGATCCGAGATCGCCAGGACACTACTGCCTTAGCGATCTCAGCTACCCGGATTGACAATCGCTTATTATGGCAAAATTATTCAAAAATTCGAAGCTCACTTCGATGCAATCACAAGTTTGTTAAATTATTATTGCTTCACTGTATAATTTGTTGCAAATGTAACAGATTTAATCCTGCTTGTATCATTTGTAGAGGTAAGAAATTACTCCTGTCCCTCGCATTTATGCACCGCAGGAACTTCGTTTGAATTAGTTTGGGCTTTCTCCAAGCGATTGCTGAAGTGTTTAGTGGGGCAGAAATGCACTGTTACAAAATTGCGTAACCGTTTCAATAATTTGAGAATGTATGTGCTGTTGAGAATGCTCTACTAGTTAATACTGTAATATGCCCAACACACTTCGTTTACTTTTAGAATGCATTATTTTATCAAGAAGGTGTCTTTGGTCTGCACCACAACTATCATTCCTCGTTTTGTAAGAACGTAAGAAAAAACATAATAAGAAATTATCAATAATAGTAAGTTAAAATACACTGGGATGCTGAACTAGGTGATACATTTAAATTAAGATATCGAAATATCTCGAGATATAGACTAAGCAAGGAACGAAAAAATATTTGTCTTAAAATGTTTCGAGAGGGAAATACATCTGTACTAGTCAGTCTCCTTCGCCAGTCAGGATGCGTGGGAAGAGTCCAACGTAGAAATTTCGCAATTGGTATTCATTTTTGTATTCTCTGATGACGATTCTTTGAATCTGATAAAATACGTGAACTTGTGGAGAGTGTATAGCCTTGCCCAATTTTCTCCGACAATGACATTGCTCATTGTCTAATTTAAATAGATTGGGTTGTGACAATTATCAGCTGTAAAGCGATTATTCAGTCGGGAGCTTCAATAACATGGGCACACACACACACTCACACACACACACACCAAAAAAGTCAGACGCAAAGACTTAATTTATTATTACTAATTACTAAGGTTACTCTATGTATGTAGACGGTCGGAATCCGCATCTGAAGCGCCACCACCCTACAGTTTCGGTTTTTTAAATCGCGAAAAAACACCGTAAAATTGTAAATGGTAATTAATGTTTCACGATTTTAAAAAAATGAAAGGTGGTGGCGTAATTCTGACTTCGGATTCGGATTTAGCGCGTTGACATACATAGAAAATCATCGGCCAAGTCTTTGAGTCTGACAACCTTTGTCGTGTATAGAGTATAATGGTACAAGAAACCAAAACCCAGTATCCATATTTTTCGCAAATAATAATAATAATAATAATAATAATAATAATAATAATAATAATAATAATAATAATAATAAAATAAAAAACGGAGGGTGATGAAGTCTGGCTTCACATTCGGATTCAACGCGTCGACATGTATAGAGAAGTACGAGTCAAGTCTTGAGTGTGACAATTTTTATTTTTGTGCCCGTGTTATTAAATCTAAATAAATTCAAACCATCGTCGCTCCAGTCTTTCGGGCTAGCTCGGGCACCTAACCTGGCCATGCCTCCCTCGCCCAGCCCATTCCCGCCGAAGCAGGAGAGCGACTCGAAGTGTCGAAGATGCGACCGACTTCCACGCCCGACAAGCGATGTTCATCCTGGCGCGCAGGTGAAGGGGAGGGACAAATGACGGAAAAAACACGCCGTTGAACAGAAAATGTCAGGCAAACCCTTTCAAAGGAACTTCGTCATCTGCTATTTACGAAAATAAATGCCGATATAAACAACCACATTTTAATATTTTTATGACTTATGGATAATAGTACCCCTAACATTCTAAAAATAGTTCTGATTTTTTGTCTCATGACAGAATTGTAGGACGGAAATGAAAAGTGCAAAACATAATTTTCGGTTAAGCGACAAATATCGGACTAAAGTGTAAGTAACTTTTTGCATCTGTCTTGGCAACGATAAAAATCGTAATAATCAAGGAACTTCGAAATGATACAGAACTTTCAAGTGATGGTTAATGCGTTTGTCTTTAGATAATCTTTTACCCTACAAATTCCTGTATCTTTGAGTGAGTGAGTGAGTGAGTGGGTATTTGTGCGTTCGTCAGCTACTCTGTCAATACCCCCGTGTGTGTAATAAATGTTATGAGCGCGAGGGGGGGGGGCATGGTTCTCCCCAGCTGATATCCAGTGTCGCTTTACACGTCGGCTTGCAGGATTTCCTCACTTTCCTCCGCTGGGGTAATCTCTACGTCCGTGCGCATTTGGCGCCTCAAAAACACAAGTGAAATAATTATTTCTCCGCGAAGGATTTTCTTTCTTTGAGATCTCAAGCTTCTGCGTTTCCACAGGCGAGCGCCGCGAGGGCAGCCGGCAGCGGCGAGCGGGAGCAGGTGCAGCCACGAGCCATGGAAATCAAACCGGAAGCGGGTCAAGATTCACTGCCGCTTCCGCAGCCCAACATCTGACGCGCCACGGCGCCCACTTGCGGCGCCACCCGCCGCGTGCCGGCCCTCCGCTCTCGAGATTCCACCGCTGCGGCCATTGTTTCATACTGCATTTGTTTTTAGAGTTAAGGCGCGCGGGACAGCGAAGGCAACCCATTTTCAGTGCCTTTTTCAGGAGGTAATTTTAGGTCCAAAAAATTCTTATATGAACATGAAATATGAATTTTTTCTATTACAAATACCACATTATACTATATCGCCAGTGGCTTGCCAACCTCTGGCAGAGACGAAAAACGTATCCCAACTTTGCTTGTTGACTGGCTCACCACTGTCTAGTCTAAAGGGGCTTCAATTTAAGCAAATGGCTTGGTAATGGAAAATACGCAGATTGAGTCTTGAATTTAATCAAATTTCAATGGTAAGAACTTGGCTAGACCATTTCAGATTGCTGATCCACTCTTGTTGTGGGTTGTATCATTTAATATTCGACGTCTGTTATAATCTCAACAACTTGTTTAACATATTGAAATATCACCTACACTACGGTTTTCCGAGAATATCCCAAATCCGGCGACGACCAACATGCAAGGTTTCTCTCTACTCTAACTGCCCCCTCCCCCAGCGAAGCACTGCTCCAGTCTGGTTTCCCGACGTGTAGTAGTGTAGAGACTGTAAGTGTACGCGTGTAGAGGGGAAGGAAGGGACAACGATGAGCAAGATGGCGCGCGGTCTGAGGCCCGTCTTGTTGAGGAATTAGCCTGGTAATGATGAATATATTAATTTTTTGGAGCTAATACTCGATGAGCTAAAAATAAAAGTTGAATAATTAGTTTCAATTAATGTCTAAGTATCACTATATGAACTTTGTCTTCATTTTCTTATAGCGAACACCTTTTGTTAATATCACTGCACTCCACTACATATAGAACATAGGCTTACTAATAATATAGTCGACAATATATCTAATAACAATATGATTAATAATAAAAGTAATAATAATAATAATAATAATAATAATAATAATAATAATAATAATAATAATCCGGATTAATAGTAATAAGCTAAACGAAATTCAACATTTTGAACTTCGACTACGATTTCAGGAACAGCCTCTAGGGTTTTTGAAGGTATTTGCCTATATCGGTTCTTTGTTTTCTACATCGTATTTTCCAACGATAGTCCACTTTGCTTTCGTAACCATGTTTCAGTAATCTTGTACCAATATATGCTCATGCTGTATCATCTCTGTATCCCTTTTACATTACATACAGAGTGATTCAGAACCCGTTGCTAATGCGTCGGGACCTCCTCCCGTATGTAATGTACAGACGGAATTTGTCAATATTACTTTTCGTCGTTTAGTTTAGTAAATCTTCTTTGGTCCTATCTTCCATATACGGAAGTTAGGTGACCCATAACGGGTTTTCTTGTGATAAATTATTCAGGGTGGTTTCCCGTTGCCTTCCCTGATATGATGATCATGATGATGATGATAGGGGGGTGAAAGGACAAACACAATACAACCATGCCCGAGGCGGGACTCGAACACACGATCATTCGGTACGAGATCGCTACGGCACTACTGCTTTAGCGATCTCGGCCACCGGATCGGCAGTTTTGTAAATAATTAACATTAAATTTGTACTGTGTGCTTCAGCTCATGTAACATGGGTTACGGCAAGAGAGCGCGCGGCTTCGCCTCGCGTCCGAACTCGCTTCTTCCCTGGAAAACCCAGTTGCTAATACTATTCGAAGAGCCCTGGATGCGAGCACAAGGCTCAAGCGCGCGATGTCAAGGCATCGCAGTCCCTCGCGTGGCGAACTGTTCATGCGGAGAGTCTACGACTTTTCTATTTCCAGTGGGTGCAGCATTTTCGCAGTAGACACTTACAACGTCATTTTCAATTCTCTAGGCATTTCCCGCGCAAATGCAATGAAAACTAGGAATTTTATTCCTTGGTCAGGTGAAGCGTGTTTTAAACGAACTCGCTATTGATGTGCATAATTTGCACGCGAGAGCCGAGGAAAATCCGTATGTTGCACGTAATGTGTAGCTCACTACGGACGATTCTCTGTAAATGTGTCAGTTGGCTTTGTGGATGAATTTATTATCGGTCCATACATCTCACCCGAGCGTTTAATAGAAGTTTAGTATCTTAATTTGATAAGTAATGCACTCCCAGCGCTTTGGGAGCTGGGTATAAATGAAAGACCGTTTTATGCTACCGAAGTCGAGGATCGTGATGACTTTCTTCGACGCATTGAAAGCGTGGAGGCAGAAATAAAGGTACAACGACGCAATGTTGTCCGCGTCATGGATACAGTGTGGCCCAGATGCATACCTTCCGTTCATGCAGGAGGCCATTTTGAACACTTGTAGAGCCCCTGTTGTACTAGGTGAAAATGCGAAATTTTGGGCGCATACGCAAAAATGATAAACTATCCTAAATAACACTTAAACAATAGTTTTTTCTCTCCTTTCACATTTGTTAGATAAGGCAATAATAGCAACAGGGAACATTTAATGCAATATTTAAGCTACCCTTTTTGGCAAAAAATGAACAACAATTTTTTTCCCAAAATTTTGAATCGGGTTTACACCATTTCCTTTTGCGCTCATGAAAAACTTAGTGAATTCCATCATCGGGTTCTGTATGAGCAACGAGGACTGAATCACCCTGTATAAATACGACTGTTCTCTTATCATTGCTACGCACATCACCAACCACACGCCGCAGATTTACATACTTTCGGCCATTTTGAATTTTATCTCACTCTTCCATTTGCCATTTTCTGTGCGGTTCTCACCCTGCTGCTCCATATTCTCGACTAAGACGAACACGTGTATGTTAGTATGCTATTGCTAATGATCGGACATATGAACCACTACGTATTCAAAGATACAGAGAACGCATTAGGAAGTGCAGAGCCTTTCATCATTTTTGACCGTATCGTTAACATAATCCGACCAACTTAAGTCGTTTCGCTGCAACAAACACAAATACTTTGTGTGTACATAATGTTTTTTTCTAAACACGTTAGTTTCTAGCTCATTATGGACTGTTCGTTCGAGGGAGACTTGGTCAAGCAAATTGATTTACTCCTCTCCGGCTTTAAATTCATCTTATTTTTCCACGTCCATTTTCATAAACAGTTTTTATGGTACAGTACCATTTTCTATTATCATCTGAGCTAATACTACTGCATATTCATCAACCATTAGCGAAAAGTGATTTTTATTTTATTGCAGTACCAATATCAATAACGAAAACAAGAACAGCAGTAGCCCTTACATATTCCTCTGGAAGACGCGGAGGTCACATTGTCTTTGGATGAATATTTGGTTTTAGACGCATATTAAACTACGAAACATTTTTTTGTTTCTGGGCAATCAATTTAAGTTTCAAATTGGTTCTATCATAAAAACATTAAAAAATGTATCTTCCCTGCAAAAACATTGCTTTTGTGATCAGGAAAACGAAAAGTTGAAATCTGCGTACTGTCATTACGGAACTTAAAAATTTTCGGGTTTATCATTTATTTATAGAAAAAAGGGAACATTATTTATTAAATCAATAATTTATTTTAACAACAATTCTAAAAGTTGATGACAAGGAACCTATAAATGTGTCGTTTAGCGAGATTTGCGAGAGTATGTCATATCACTTTCTCGAATAAGTCCCTAAATATAGTCCATCATTTGTTCATTGTAGGTTTCCCGGGAGCGACGTTGAAAATTTTGCTTGTTCTTATGGAGGCCCTTACTCCTCGGAATATGCACCCATGTTCTCTTTGAAGCTACAAGGTGGGAATCACGGATATGTATTTTCAGAGACAGCCTACAACCCATTCTACAGAGTCTCAACCAATTTAACACAGTTTTTATCTTATGATTTCCAAGGAAGCTTTCAACTACTATAAGAAAATTGACCCATTCCTCATTCTCCTTTGCTCTGAGAAGCTTGGGAAACTCTTGACAATCAATACCTTTCTTGATTTCAGGTCCAACGAAAACGCTAGCTTTAACTTCTGCTTCGGAAAACTTTGGGAACAGATGTAGATGCTTGAATTGTACAAATTCCTCATCCCACGCTGCCACAAATGGCTTCATCGGTCCTATTTTTATGTCCAAATGGTATTGGTACCTTTCGAGGGTCTACAAGTAGCTCCCATTTAATGTTGAGATTCCCATCAGTGACTACTTTTAGTCAATATCTTTTATGGTGGTGTGCTATAGCATTATTAATACCAGACTTATGAAACAATTTGTATTCAAATAGCAAATTCTATTTATCGGGATCGCGTGGTTTGTATCCCATGAAGCATATGATACACACAATAATACTAGTGGACTATCCTTTTCCATATAACAATAACGTAATTGGAGTTCTCACGGGCGCAGAGGCTGACACGAGTCACAGAAGTGGATTCATATCGTATGCAAAATAGAGCTTCACGAGGTGCAAAAATTCTTAGTTCAATAAAATTATATTGGTATCATCATCATCATCACCATCATGTAATAATTTACAGTTCATAGTTTCAGGAGAATGGTCCAGTATTATTTATAGACAGTCTTTTTTTTATTTTCATAAATTGATTTAACTATAACGATGATAACGATGCAACATTGGTTTAATATACTTTTCTTCTACAACTACTTTAGAATTTTTGAGAGTTAAAATGATTACAGAAGACCATTTAAAAAAACAAAACATTTCAATATACCGTATTCACATTATGTTATATGCAAACTCGCATGAATTAACGAAAGCAATTTTCGTAGAGTTTGACGTCCCCAAGAAACATTCGAAAATCAACTGAAGTTGGGAACTTTTCCCCCGGAATCATCAAGTAATAAGATTAGTAAGCATCTGTTCAACTTCGCGATTTCAGTGAACTGAAATATTACTTTTTACTTTAATTTAGTAAACATTTTTTTATTATGTTCTTCAGTTCTTTAGAAGTGGGCCTTCTATAATTATTCTTTAAAACCGTGTTACTCCTGATAAGTTTGACATCAGTACGTATATTCTTAAAAAGGGTTTCAAATATGCGAAATAACCCATTAAAGTTCTTTGCTATTGATTCATAGAACATAAAAGACAATCAAAATATAATGGCTTCCCATATTCTTTACAGTTAGTATAAAAAGGTATAATAAAAACAGAAACGACTTTCGCACCCCGAAAAGATCTGTGCGCATTGGATCAGAAAGTATCAAAACGAACAATTACTGGCTAATCGTAACCGCGTGCAACTGGCTTCGAGAAGACCTGGAGCATCGTCGCACGCTAATGAGTGGGTTATTAAGAAGATGCTACAGTTCCAGAAAAAAAAACAAAAAACTTTGCGACAGTGAACGCGTGGATCAAATATCGTGGACTGGAGGAGATTCATCAGGGCAGTGGCTGTAATATACCGATGCCCTGAAGAAGGCCGCAAAGGAAGCGAAGATCATAGCTCTGGCAGTGGAAGGCAACGCCTGCGCTCGCATCACCGCCCACGCCCTCACTTCTCTCACCGCCCACATCACCGTTCTGCCAACGCTTACCCCGCTCCCGCCCCGTGTCGTCCTGAACGCCACCGCTGCTACTGCACATGCCCCGCCGCAAGTCTCTCAACGTCACTGCAGAGGCCTACAACGCCGCCACCCCAGATAACAACGCTGACAACGCCAACGCCACTAGCGTCACCATCACCTTCCCCGCCCCCCTTCAAAGCCATCGCATATGCCGAGAACGCCACAACAGGCCACCGCCACCGCCACCGTCGCCTCGAGCGTCCCAGCGGAAGCGGCGCGGCGGCGGCGGCGGCGGCGCAGGGCTCCCACAGATATCGAGGTCGATTATGCTCGTTGAGGGGCCACGCCGAAACCCTGCCGGATTTGACGCGTCGACTGCTGCTGCTGCTGCTGCGGCGGCGGCGGCGGC